AAGAAGAAGCTGTGCAGATTTAACTGAATATATTAGAGTAAAACAAGATATCGAATGACCAAGTATAGCATGCTGAATATTTAAAAACAATGAAAAATTCAATTTCTCTTCACATCAGTGCTTCCTTTTATTTTTATTAAATTTATTTTGCCTGCTCTCTGCTCCATCGTGCTGGAAATATTTATATCGATTGCCCAATGCAGACAGAGAATGTTCTGAAAACTGCTGGATAAACTTGTAGAGCTGTGTGTCACCATCTGTTAACGCCAGTCTGTAGAATTCAAGCCAGGAGTATATTATTCCCAGTGAACAATACACAGAGGTTAGCATCAAAGGAAGGAAGGGATAGCGCTCTCCTATGTTCCAAAGCCAAAATCCAAGACTGTTGAATAGACCCAGTGGAATGAAACCCCAGATGTAAATGCTCTCCGACAGGTTCAGCAGTGGAAGATAAGGCAGTTTGAAAATCTCAGTATTGTTTTGGTTCGAGTGTCCATCTCTCTTCATAGAACTGGGGAAAAATGCAATCCAAAAGCAAATTAGCAAAGTATTAAAACTTGTTGCTTGCAATGCTCATTGTGTTGTTTCTCATAAATGAGATCACTAACTCATCTTGTTTATTGAGTTACTTGTACACAGCAAAACAGTTATCACAGTTGAGGTTTACCAACTTTACTAACTGTTCTGCCGTGTAAAAGTGTTAAGTTTAAATGGCTGCGCACTACTCAGAACAAATCCTTTCACATAAAGCACTTAAGTCTCACTATACTTTTAATAAAACTAAATTCAATAATGTCTAATCATGAATAAGGTCAAATTGATAATATATTTACACAAACTTCCCGAGTCCAAAAAATGATAATATTAATAATAAACATTTTTGTTACGCAGTTAAGTCAGATCCTTACGTGACAATATGATAGTGTCAAGAACAAAATAAATATGATGTGCATATCGCAAGAGCACATGTTATGCCTAGATTTATTCAAAATTAGCAATAATGAGTCAAATTCTTCTACTAAAAATAATTTTACAGTCAATTAGTTTCTTCTAATTAACTGGCTTTAAACCCTATTACTATCAAGTTCATTTTCTATAGTGTCAAGCTATTTTTAGCTTTTTCAAATGCTTTTCAAAAATGACAATCTTATTCTAAATGAATTCAACGACCCGTACAATTATACAGTTTTTGAAAGTACATTGGACAAGTTATCTTATGGTATGAAAATAATTTGTTTTTATATAATGAATGTTGATATTATGTATGTTGATTTTGACCTTGACCCTTCTTCTTCTTCTATATTTTGAGAACCCACGATCCATGTATTGATCATTCTGGCTCCTTAAGTGTGAGTAAAATTTTAATACTCAACTTATGAATTTAACCCATCCTAATACTAGGACTCCATCACTCGTTCAACCTATCATAAAATCAAGTTTTTGAGATACTAAAAGCAATATTTCCTTTCAGAAAATGTCACCATATAGGTACTTATGTTGAAGATTGTAATATTGGTGAATTTTTTCATTCACTACCTTAAAATTCCTGTCATAAAAAAATGTAAGGGGGAGGGCAAGAAATCACTTCAAAAATTACTTTTAAAATGAAGTTATTAAATCAATTTTTTTAATGAATTAATGCTCAAGAGGATACACAAACATAGCTGTCTTTGAATCTCTTTAGGGTAAGTCTTTGGGAAACCAATCTTCATCTTTTCTATTTGATTTAAACCCTTTCCCAAATAAATTTGTCTGTAAAAATATGACTAAGATTAGAGCTAAAATTTCCATATCACCGCAAGAGCTAAAACTGTCATCATTAGCGCGTGGAATATCTCAGAATCTTTGCTTTCATTTCAATTCCTTTCAAATAATTCCAAACAAGAAAGTCTGTGCTGATTTTGAAATCTAGAGGGGAACCCTCTCCAGCATCAGACACTATGGTGGCCAAATTTTTTTTTGCAAATTTTACACCCAGTTAAATCACAAAAAAAAGCTCTGATAAAAGCACATTAACACACTGATAGAAGCGTAAATCGGAAGCAATCTCATTTATATGGTCATTTTCTCTTGACCGATATACATTAAATCATTCACATTTTTAGTGATGATTTTGCTAGCAGGCGATACTATCAACCATGACCACAGAAAGGGGTTTAACGACCGATGATCACCCATGACAGCTATAGGATTAAAAATGTAATAAATTTACCTGAAAATATTTCCCAGAGATAAAAAAGAAAAAATACAACTCTGAATCAGCAGTAAAACCTTCAGCAAATTTTCTGGGGAAACAAAACAAAACTTAGTTTCATATTTTTTTAAAATGATTTCCTTCATTCTAAAATAGGAATCTTATCTGCTAAAGGTGACAATTATTTTTAAAGAGAAGGGGAAAACAACAAAACAATGTTAACATTCATTTTAAATTTGCACAATCCTTTCATCAGCTACTGCCCCCATGGAACACACATCCCCCAACTCCCCACTGGAATGTTCCTCCACTACTTTTCCCACTCGTATTCTAAATTATAAGTTTCTTCTTTTGATAAACTACACTTACACCTGTCAGTGGTTACATTTTTAATCCTTATGAAAACTGGTTTTACAAAATTCGATAAACTTCCCATAAATCAGTCCACTAGAGTGAGACAGTTTTCTATTTTGTTATAACCATAATAATGGGTTAATCTATGGATATGATATAATAATAATAATAAATAATAAAGTTCATTTAAAAAACACGCTTCGTCCCCAAAGGCTCGAAGCGCGGTACAAAGTCAACAAAAAACAAATCTATAATTTACCACATTTAAAACAAACGCAACACTACAAAAACTAATTACAAGCATACAATGTCAAAGTCTTTCAACCCATTTCAACATAAGCAAATAATAGGCTCATTTAAATTAGTGAAAATAACAACATGATTTTTAATGTGGGAAAAGGCAATGCTAGGCTATTAAAGACAATTGTAAGGTGCTTTAAGAATATAATAAACCTCACCCATTGGTGTAAACAACAGAGGAAATAGTGAGTAGAATCCTGCGGTGGACAGTATCAGGTAGATCCTAGCATCTGCTTTACTGTTCAGAACTAATAATCTGAAATTATTATTTTAAAAAAATAGCAAATTCCTTGATCTTAAGAGACGAATGTACAAGTAATGCATTGGTCAGTTCATAAAGACAGCCAATAAACATTTCAGCTTGTATGACTGTTTACGACTTATTTTTTCAAATCATTAGTATATCAGAGAGAAAACAAATTTCCTAATGATGATTAGGGTGACACAAGCAACTTCATCTTAACAGATCTTAACAAAAAGTTTTCTTAGTTAATATGATTCAGTTAAAAATATACAAGTTATGCATTAATTTTTAAGAGCCTGTAATATGCCTCACCCTTTAACTAAAATAATTCGTTAAGCTTACAATAACAATCCCACGGATATTATAAACGTACGCCATAGGAATGATAGCCATGAGAATAGCTTTTTCATGAACATGCCAGCCAAAGAGATAGGATGTGAGTCCACATAGGATGACTGTACGTAAGAATGACACGACTGTTCGCTGGTTCCACAAATTCAACAGCGCAGGCTAAAAACAGAAAATTTACATCAACCACTAATATATTTCACATTTGAATCATAACAAATAAACATGCTAGATCCAGATTCACATTTGTTCTGCTAAACTAAAAGAAAGATATGAATTCAAAATTATGACATTTGCCTTCCTGGATATTTCAATTTTAAAATAAAACTTTTCCAAATCATTAGTGTATTTTGATTATATTATAGATTAGATGTATAGAACACAATTTTTAAACTTTATAAATAAATAAACAATTTTTTTTTGTCAACATTGCTAAGAAATGAAAGAGTTAACACACCATCATTCCAAAGACAACCAAAAGCAGTGAGAAGCCAGGAGGAATGCTGGGTAATGTTGTATGGTTGTACTCTTGAACAAGTCCTGAGGTCATGGAGCCTGATTGCACCTTTCCAGCATTTAAAATACCAAGTTTTAGACCTGAAAGGGAAAATAAAAACATTTAAGACAAGTACCATGAATAATTTAAAAATTTCAAATCAATAATATTTTAGCACGAGCATTTCAAAGAATATTTTTCCAAGTGATCTTACCAAAAATTGTTAAAACTTTGTCTAGTCCACTATAAAGGGCCCAGAAATTGGGTGCCCAGTATGCATGTAGCAAACCTCTCTTAAATGGAAATAAGCGAGACATAACTTGGATAAATTGTCCCTGGAGAAGGTAAAAACATAAATTTCAAATTATTTCTTTGACATGGTATATATTATTGAACTGGGTTCGGTTACTTTTGTAATGGAATTGTAGAATATATGAAACAAAGGAATCAATTTTATTTCTTTATTTTATAAATATATGTTAAATAATTAAACTCTCAAAAGACAAGAGATTGAAAAATCTGTCATATCTGACAGATAAAAAAACAACCCCTTAAATGTATAAAACATTTATATTAAAGGGGAAAATAAAGATTTACTATTTTGGCATGGTAAATTTCTATTTGGAAATAAATAAAAATCAATTATACTACAAGTTCTTGAAGAAACCTGGTAGCAACTTGTCCATTCATGAATTTCCTTTTTCGCCGCATTATACAATTTTCACATGTTTTGCCAAAAGACCGACAAGGTAGACTGTTACTACACACTTAAGCATTGTTATGGAGTCTGATTCTGATTATAAGCTTGAAATGGACAACAATTCTTCCTTAGAGGAAGATTTTTGATGAAGATAACACTTTAGATGTGTCTGATACAGAGAATCTTTAAATTATTATCATAATAATTAATAATAGTATACAAGGTTTGTTTACTTTTTCATTTATGCTCTCACGCATACTGTGATAATTTCTTAGCACTATTATTAGTAATATTTGCCCTAATATTAGCTTTATTCAAGTTCCAGTAGTATAAAATTCTTAAACAGATTGAATTATTTATTTGTTTTAATTGAAACTAATTTGAAGTTATAAAATTATTATAATTAATATGTTTCAGTTACGGTACCAAAATGTAAACAATGCCGTATGTATTAAATTCAAGGCTATTACATTGTAAACAATCAGCTGTGTTCCCTTTTCCATGAAGTAAAAGTAATTTTGGCAGATTATTTTCTATTTGGAAATCTTTTTATTTATATTGTAAATTTTGTATTTCAGCTAAACTAATAAATATTTTTAAAAAAATATTTTGACAGCATCTATGAAGGACAGATACAATGACTGTGGGACTCTAAGTGGATTTCTGCCTTGAGACCAGAGGTACAAAGCATACTGCTCCCTGATGTTAAAACAACACAGGATATAAGGAGATTTTAAAAGCAAATAGACTTTTTTTTAAACTCTATTTTACTACAAATTTGGTTGCATATTAGTAAGCAGTGTGCGCAGGACAATGGACCAAATAAACTTTCTGTTTTCAATAATTGGTATTGGTATAATATCATTGAAGAGGCGTTTAAATTGGATTTATTATGAATGCAGGACTTATTTAAGCTCTTAATTTTACAAGAAAGGTCCAGGAAATCCTTATACACGGACAATGAGCAAGGCCAATATGACTAGGGACATATTCAAAGCCATATTGAGTTTCCTAAATGTTTCTGATTCTGAAACTAAAGAAGACATGCTGTGCAAAATTAGGAGACTCTTATGTAACTCAATGCAAAATACAAGAACTGTATCAGCATCAAGAAAATGTTGCAATTAATGAACAATTTAGGGAGCATAGGACATCTTTGATGATGAACCCATTGCTGTAAAGATAAAAAAAATGTATGTCGTGCGCTCTAAAAAATGTACCAGTAATTCTGTGTTATGAAAGCAAGAGTAAAATGGTCAGAGTATATGTCACAGGCTTTGTTTTTGATACATTTTTATGTTTTAATAAATAAAGAAATTGTTTTCAAGAATTTTATATACATCGTCTCGGCGAAGGATTAGATCATCTCTGGGATGTATAAAAAATGTTTATTAAAATGTGCTTTTTTTCTTAACTTTTATTTTAAAATAATACTTACTAATAATTTTCTAAATGATAATTTCATGCAGTATATGTTTTCCTTTGAACAAAAATAATTATTTTAAAAAAAATAATTTTAACTTTTTGACATTTCCTTGAATGATATGTTGTCTACAAATAGTCATAACTTTTTTATTTATGAGTCTATTCTTTTGAAATTTTGGATAAGTATAATAGTATTGCCATAATTGAAAACACCTTTTTTTCCCCCTTCTTTGTAAAGCTGTGATGTTATGTTTTTGTCGACTTAAAAAAATTATTTTTTTGCCTAAAAATAATAATAATGCAATTTTAGCAAGGATATTTTGAACAAACACCAAATATCAATTAAAGAGCATCCATTTATCTTTAAAATGATATATAATACTTACAGCCATGAGATACATTGAATAATAAGATGTATTCAAGGTCATAAAAAAACGGAAAAATCTAGTCTTTAGAGAGTTTACATTTATTCTCTTATCAACTATAATTAAAAAATGAATGGGGTAAGGTTTACCAAAGACATACTTTTGATTTAAATTGATACAATATGGAATTATGGTGTTTCAGTCTGCAAAGTTGAATACTTACAAAATAAATAAATGGTCCAAAGGAGAATACAAAAACCCCACTGACCACAGCACCAAGGCAAGCGAAGTTGAAAAAGGAAAATCTGGTCAATGATATAGGCTTATCAGCTGAAAATATTAAAAGAAATTTCCAGTTCTATTAAACTAAAAATTATCTGTCTTAAAGTCACAATGTTTGTCCATTAAAATGTAAAGTTGCACTTAAATAATTTGCATTAAGACTGTAAATTTAATAATTAACAACTGAAAATATATTGAAACATTACTCCTGAAATGAAGCATTTGCCTTTGAACGAAGACCATGATAATTTTTCATCTCAGTTTCTTCTTAATTTTTAGCATTAAAAAATAAATTTCAATTTCTTGAAGCTATGCCTTACCTTGGAAACAAAATGTCCGTAGCAAGTAGATGAAGTAGGCTGGTGCTATGTACATAAAGATGTGCTTCATGTTTAATAGAAAAGCAAACCAGAAAGCACCTTCTAGAGTCTTGCCCTGTGAAAAAATTCAATTTTAAACTTCAGAAAAGTAGTATTAGATGAAAATATCCACAAAATAACTAATTTTACTTAAGTCAAATCAATAGTGATCAAATAATATAAGTCGCATCAAATTTTATTTTCCTTATAACCTTGTAATTGTTTTAAAATGAATGAGGTTTCCATACATTTGAGCAGGTATAATTTTTCTAACAATGATATTGCTCCCTTTTTAAACTAACCGAAATTTCAACTTTCTGTGGTGATGGCAAGAAACACAAAACTATTGGTTTTTATTTTAATATATATTTATAAGTATCAGAAATGGTTATAGTAATAGAAATAATTCAACTTTAGTGTACAATTAAAAAATGTATAAACTTTATAACCTGTAAAATCCTTATCAAGGACAGTAGCATGATACCAAAAAGGATTCCGTTGTACTGGAAATGTATGTCTGGTTCAAACAGTGTAAGATAAAACTTTTAAAAACTGTAATTTAATTGATTTCCATTTTCATACAAAAAAAAAAAATCAATTTTTATTTTTAAAATATAATAAAAACAAAGAGTAAAAAGCTTTTTTTTAAAAATTGCAGTGTTTAGTAATAAGGATACGATCAACTATGAAAAGACCTATGTTGAAAATAAGAAAAATTGATTGAATAGTTGTGCTAAATCTATCCTTTTCTCTAGGACTGTGCTTCGATAGGATGTTGATAGTTTGGAATCTGAAAGAAAATTTTATTTTTCATTAGTTTGAAATCCAACAAAATAATCAATTCCCACTTATCTTTTTAACAGCATATCTTAATGAACTTCAACTTACTCTTTAACTGCATAGTAATAAACAAAATCTGTCATAATCACTGATAGTCTCTGAAACAAAACTGTTCCTTCACTGGCATAATTGAGATTAGAGACCTCTAGCATCTTCGGGTCAAAGTTCACGGCAAATAAAGATAAGATGTATTCAAACCAAGCAAATAAGGGAGGATAATCTAGTGTCCATTGAGAGGTTTCCTAAAGGATAAATAAAACAGGATTAATGAATAAAAGACAGTTTCATGTGCTAGCAAAATTAATAAAAATATCAATTATAATTATACTAGTTATTTATGGCTGTCAGTTGTCACAGATTAAAAAAAAAGCATTGTAAATACTTTTAAGGGGTTACAAAAAAATTCACCAAAGAGTCAATTAACACTTTAAATAAATTATCTAGTTGGTCAAAAAATGTGTACACTTTATCCACAAGAGTTTTCTTAACATTGTGAATTTATGGCTGCCAGCACAGGTGAATGAAGTTTTGTGCAACAAATAGCAAAATTTTTCCCATATACTTATGTCATAAAAAACCAGCTTTAGCCTGGTAAAACATTTCTGAATTAACCAAGATCTCCCAAGACTGAAAATATGGGCACCATGAAGTAGCCTACTATATTTATTTAGAATACCAATTCATTTGTCTAATGAACTGTCATAGACTGCAGAAGATTTGTTTTGAAATGAATTAATGTGTTACGATTATAGATTTCTGATACATGATGAAGATTCAAAAATGAAATACAAACAACATTTAACAAGTCTACAGCAGAAGTTGTGCAAACTTGAAGCAAGATGACCTGAGCCTTTCATTTAGTTATAATCACCAAGCATGTAGTATATATTCAAAATTTTCCTAGGCATTTAATCAATCATAAATGAATCTAGATTATAACTGATTGAAGCTTCAATATGCATGTAATGTTATCCTTCTGATCAAAATTTCATAAAAATAAAAAGACTTACATCGACATACCACTGACGCAATGGAAGACTGTGTGTAATAGCTAGCCAGTTTCTATGCACTTCAAAATCTGTTGAGCGACTGAAAAATATGTTAGATTTTTTGTGATTAACAACTAATAAAACTTAATTTAATATTTCTGTTTTTTAATTATTAAAATGATAAGTTAAGAGAATTAGGGAAGAGGGTAACATTTTTTGAGAGTGGGTGGATGGTGTAGATTTACAACTATTATTGCGTAATTACCTACCCAGATATCAGAGGAGCAAGCAGATGTTGCAGATAAGTTGTATGGCACAGCCCTAACAGTATAAAGGAGTTAATTTAAATTTACTTGTAAACAAATTTCACACCATGTTGACACTACTTTTATTTCTTTGGCCACTAACCTTTGTTGCTGATGTGAATAACAGGAAAAAATATAAACTACAAAAAACCTAGTCTAGACTCAGTCAATTCAAAAATTTTTTTTCTGCAAACCTAACCTAAATCATAAAAACCATTAGCCAAAATTATCTGAATCTGTCTTTCACTCCTTTCAGCACTGGACAAGGAAATACAGTTGCATCATTCATTTGAAACTATTGCTATTATATTCAATATTCATTGAAACTATTATGGAAAAACAAAAATAGAGAATAAGCCTGCACTGTGTGTGAGTGCGACTTAGGCTAGCTAACTAACTGGCTAATGTAGTTATGATAAGTCATAAGTGTAAAGTAGAAGAATATGAATAAGATACTGAAAGTTTATAAACCAAGTAGGCTGATGTGAAGAGATAGCACCCTGACGTCATTTGCGTGTTTTGTCCCTGGTTCCGATAGGGTCAAAACCCAGTTTAGGGATAAGTTTAACTTTAGGGTTCAGGTTAGTAGGTTAAGGGATAAATTTGGGACATAAGTTCGCCATGGTAAAAAAAACGCGGTGCTATCTCTTTGCATTTACCACAAAGTATTATAAAGTTAAGCAATGCAAGAATAACTTGTTGAGAATAAAAATAAAAGTGATAAGTGGTCGTGGTTGATTTTATTTGAAAAGCAAATAAGTAAATTTTAACTTTGCACATTATTAAAGGGGAGTCATAATTGAAATTTTGGTTAAAATGGGGAGCCTGCCACATTTTTATAGAATTTCACGAATGTATCCTTAAATCGATCCCTATGCCTAACCTGAATCCTAAATCTATCCCCATGCCCATGCCTAACCTGAACCTAAAGCCTAAATCGATCCCTAAACTAAACCTAACCTAAACCCTAATTCACTGCAACTATAATAAAGACACAAAAGACGCCGTGGCAGCCTTCCTCGGTTTTAGCCGAAATGTTAATATAATTAGAATTGTATTATAAATCTTACTATGCTGGCATGAAAAGGATCTTTACGAATGTTGCCGCTCCAGCCAACGTCCAGATCACAGCCATTTTGACACAAACACACTTTCATTTTTCTAAACTTTGTATAAACAATACCTCAGGGACCATTAATTGAAATTGTCGTAGTCCCCACCCCCCTTTTTTTTTTCCTCATCTCCACCACAACGTCGGGCCTATAACTTAAGTTTAATATATTGTCAATACTTATATCCTGAAATTGTAGATTAATCAAAGCTAGAGCCACATTTTGCATTTTAATAATAATTATTATTTCTTTCAAAAATGTATGCATAAAAACTTGAAAGCATTTCAGGGACGGATTTCAAGGGTTGGTTCCCCTGACCTGTTCTTGCGTATCCGGAGATTTGATCGAAAGAAATTTCGTCGACGGTAGTTTAAGTAGTTTGATCGAAAGGAAATTTGGTCGAATATATGTGTAATTTTTCTCAGATTTTAAGTTAAAATTTTGCTTTATCTTCAAATTTAAAATAATTCCCGAGTGGACGTTGTCCGCCCAACTCAAGAAAGGTAATTCAGTTGAGTTTAATATCCCTTAAATTTAAATAGTTTTTACGACTTTACTCCTTCAACTCAAGCTTTTCGCAACATAAAATGACTATGACGTATGATTATTTAATTTTTTTAAAAATTGTTTATTTATCCTCCAACGAATGTGTTCTTATGTGTGCTTTTGGTGTGTACGTGATCAAGTGCACAATGTTGATAGATTATGCAACTATTCCCAAGCATTCAAAGTTGATAATTTTAACTTTCCAAATCAGAACTTTGGGACCCTTAAATCTCCTTAATAAAGAAATAGGTCCTTTGTTATTTTAATGGTTGTTGATGTCAGACATTTTCATTAAGTTTTTATTAGATATTTTTTAGATTGTCTAAATCTTTTCTTTTGTGCTTTTAGTTTTACAGATGTCTTCAAACAATTTTAAACATAAAAACCAATAAAAAACACACAAAATTATATAATATGTTTAATCCCAGAACAACTAAAGGATGTGTAGATAGATGGCAACAAAATAAAAAACATGTTACAATAATATCACAATAATTAAGTCCCCTGACACTCACAGGACAATTCTTTTCCACTCCAACCTGACATATTCAAAGCAAAAAGCATGGTTATACATTATGAAATCGTGATCACAACTATGTGCATTTTTTAAAACTTTTTGATATTCACGAATTGTTAGTGATGGTGAGATGATGTACTTGTGGACTAAATATTTCATGATTAGCGGGTGCTTTAAAAACATGAATATAAAATATTTTTAAAAAAGACATGTTTTCAGCAAAACAATATTGTGCTTTAATAGATCAGGAAAAGAAGGTTAATTGATTACCAAACACTGGTGCAGTTCTAAATCTAAGTCACTAAACACAAAAGGACAGACTCTTTATTAATTACTTCACAGACGATCAAAGAAAAATTATATTCAAATAAATGCTCACATATACAATGAATATTTATGAAATATATATATATTATATTGGATATTGTTATCAAACAAACACCTTGAATTTGAATGTAGACAATAAAAGTTAAACATTCAGATCAAAGATAACTATGTGTTTACATTGCAGTATCATACTAGCACCGTCACTCTCACCTTCTCAAAATAAACAAGAATTATTGGACATAATATCAAAAGGAGCATGTTCTTTAAAAAGTTGATCCCTGGTATTACAAGAAGAAATAAAATGGAAAATGGAGCATTCTCAGAAAACTTTGGAGGGTAGCATAATTATGTTATAGAATTTGTAGAGTAGATAAGTGGTTCCCCATAAAGGCCCTTGGGAGCAACGGGTTCCTCAAAAAATAAGAATTGTATTTTTCTTCTTCCACTTTTAATTTAATTTGATCGGATGCAACATCAAACCATTAACTCAGTTAGTGATAGCTTTTAGCAGATGTCTCCACAAATGGTTAATACATGGTGCCTTGTGATTTGAGAGACAAGTTATTTAATGTAATATATATGTATATATATATTCGCCTTTTAAATTTTGACACCTTGGGAAAGTCTGAATTTAGAAAGTGTGCTGAGAATGGAAAAAAGTTTGGGAACAACTGGAGCAGATATAATTTTAGTTTTTTTAAATTGCCATTTTTGTCATTATGCAAAATATCAACTTCAAATTTTTTAAAAAAGGACACAAGAAAAAATTGCAATTCAATCAATAAATTTAAACATTTATATAATAAAATCTTCTGAACTGCTAGTTCATTTTGTATAAAATATGATATGTAAAAGAAAATATGTAAACAGAGAGTAAAAAGTTGTGTTTATTAAACATTTAATTTTTGTACTTTCAACAATTGTGATAAAATTTTAATAAATGAATTCAAAGAAATTTTAAAAATAAAACCATATTATTTAGGGTTTTAATTATTTTTTATTTAAATTCATCATAGTTCAAGACTTGAAAGTCCAACTTTTTTTTTTATAAAAGTGACCAATGAAAGGGAACAATTTTGATAAATTTGTTGAAGACATATTTGAGTATTCACCATCCTCTTCAACAAAATAAAAAATCCCCTAATTAAATGACATTTCAATAGATAATGGTAAATAAAGTATTTAAAGAACACCAGGAAACTATTGAGCATATTCTGAGTTCCAGGTGGCTGCATTCTCAAATCCATTTTTATTATTTCTGTAGTCATTGAAAGCTTCTCTGATTTCCTCTTGAGTTGTCATGACAAATGGACCTTGAAGGGGAAGAAAGGAAAGTGTTTAAAATACATTTAAAAAACCAGTGAGAATGAGGACTGTGAAAATGGTTCATTAATCTTACTTTAAAATAAAAGCAATAAAGCACAACAGTTAATGCACAATAAAGCACTACAGTTAATGTACAACAAAGCAGTGCAGTTAGTGTACAATAAAGCACAATTAATGCACAATAAAACACTAGTTAATTTACAATAACATAACAGTTACTGTACAATAACACTACAATTAATGTACAATAAAACACTACAGTTAATTTACAATAACACTACAACTAACTTACAATAAAACACTACAATTGTTGTACAATAAAAACAACAGTTAATGTACAATAAAACATTACAGTTAATGTACAATTTAATTACTATTAATGTATAATATAGCATAACAGTTAATGCTCAGTAACACTACAATTAATGTACAATAAAACACTACAATTAATGTACAATAAAACACAACAGTTAATGTATGGAACAATAGAAAAATCATGACATATTGCCTGTATATTCCTTTGCTATTACTCACCATGTTGAAAAATTGGTTCATTGATGGGCTGTCCTGAGATTATGACAAAATGACAAACCTCAGATCCCTGCAATGATGATATTAAGTTATTTATTAGAGTTTATTACAATAAGATGAAATAATATTATATATAAGAATGAGGTAGGCTGACGGTAGCGCCCAAAGAGATGAAAAGATTTAAACATGTTCGGGTTCTTAAAAACAGTGATTGTAATTTTCTATTATTTTACGGAAATCAAATAAATTTGAATACGCAAAATATGACATGTATCCGCTTTTATTTTAGTAAATGCTTAAGTATTATTATTATAAATTACAAATACATTTAAAATAACAATAAAGGAACTATTTTAAGCAGTTTATCAGAGTTTGAAAGTTATGAAAACAAATTTTAATAAAAAAATTATGATCTAAGAATTACATCATAATCACAATTAATTGGGAAAACCCAACCATCTGTTGTTATTAGTGCATTTTTTAGAGGGTGTTATTAATGGGAAATAAAATAAAAATTAATTTGTTCTAAATAAACAAGCAAATGACTCAAGGTGTGAATTGCCACTTTTAGCCAAAGCTCTAAGTTTATTTGATTTAATAACTGTTATGTATTTTCCCTTTCTTAAAAGTAAAATAAATAAATATAATTTAATTGCTCTTAAATCATATATATATATATATATATATATAAAGGTAAATGTTTGTTTGTGGCGGGCGGTGTTTATTCCACAAAGGTTTTTAAATAGATTTATGGATCTTGACCAAACTTGGCACATATATCCATATTTATCCTGAAGGAACTTTTAAGGGGCTATGAACTTTTTATAACATTCCGTTTCTGGCCGGGGTCCCCGAATTCGTTTTTTCCTCAAATGCGCTATATAAATAAAATTAACAAAAAATACTCCTACATGAATGGATGGATCTCAACCAAACTTGATACACATATACTTTATTATCCATATTCAAATACCGAAGGGTATTCATTGAACTCATAATATCCATCCCTCTGGGGCCGGGGGCCTCGTTTCATTTTTTCTTATATAAGCTATATAAATATCAATAAGTTTAGTACTCCTCCATGAGTAGATGGATCTTGACCAAACTTAGTACACATATACTTTATTATCCATATTCAAATACCGAAGGGTACTGAACTCATAATATCCATCCCTCTGGGGCCGGGGGCCTCGTTTCATTTTTTCTTATATAAGCTATATAAATATCAATAAGCTTAGTACTCCTCCATGAGTAGATGGATCTTGACCAAACTTAGTACACATATACTTTATTATCCATATTCAAATACCGAAGGGTACTGAACTCATAATATCCATTTCTCTGAGGGGGGGGGGGGCCCAGTTCATATAAGTTATATTATTAATAATGGGTTTTATGAGTAGATGGATCTTGACCAAACTTAGTACACATATACTTTATTATCCATATTCAAATACCGAAGGGTACTGAACTCATAATATCCATTTCTCTGAGGGGGGGGGGGGCCCAGTTCATATAAGCTATATTAATAATAATAGGCTTAGACAACACTATAGTTACTATGTGAATTGATGGATATAGGCCTAGCTTTGTAGCAAATCCCATCATTGGCTGTATTGATATATCGTTGGATTTAAAACTAATAATATCCAATCTAGAATTTTCCAGAAACTTCCATAACTTTAAAAAGCTATATCTATTGGATTTTTAAGTAGATTTTAATGGGACAAATTTTAAATTTTAACTTTATTATTTATCTGTCTGATTTTATAGGGCCCCCTAGCTCAGGTAAAACTATATAGGTACAGTTATGGAGCCCCGTCGATTAACTTAAAAGAAAAAGGATTATAATTATGGCATTTGTTGAAGATTTTTATCGTATTTGAAAAATGATTAGATAAGTAGTTTTTACACATGTTTTGAGCAGGTTATTAAATTTAATCTAGAATGTTCCAGAAAGTTCTAAATTGTTCCAAAGGGATATATAGTGGGATCTAACGGAATTTTGATATGTTATTTAGTTCTATTCATTTCTATACTGTACCAGAGTTTAATTTTTTTCTCAGTAACACTGAGTAATTTTTTATATTTGGAATATAAACAAAGGGGTCGGGATCCCATCATAATCTTTATCTCAATGGGATCAGGATCCCACAGGGATCGGGATCACACCGGCAAATGGGACGGCGCCGAGATCGGTGTCAGAATGGGATCAGGGTCCAAATGGGATGGGGGGGTCACACCAGGATGGGGTCCTAATGTAATCCCGGGCCACGCCAGGTATATAGGCTAGTTGTTTATAAAACACAAAAAAATTTTGATTTGTATTTTTAACAATTAATAAGTTTTTACTTTATTTTCATCCCAAAAATATACTTTGATTAAATTTATAAGATAATAAAAACTTAACCTTTAAATATACTTTTAATAAGAAAATGCGGCTTAAGTCAATCAGTGCAGCAAAACTCCATAGCCAAATAGCATTCACTATTGCATTTATCTAAATAAGAGCAAACCATATGAAGTGAAAAAATGTTTATGTGCGTATGTAAGGGGCTAACAATCCGTGGGGGAGGGGGGTCCGAAACTTTCATTTAGCCTCAGCAAAATACTTCTTAAAACTTTTAATGATGTTAGAAACGTAAACATTATAACATAGATACTTCTTTTTAAAATACGTAATTGTGAAGAGTTTTTGCAAAAGCAGGTAGAAGTTTTTTCCAAGTGCCGCCATTATTAGCTCTGTAACATCGGGTGACATTTTCTAGTAAATGAATAGTAGAATAAATGCATCCACTAATTAATGATAGAGTTCAGTCAAATTTTAAGTATCCCATGGTAAGTGGCCACGTGACTGTGTTGTACCTTATTATTGACATGTAAAGATTCACCATCTTTATTAAATGTTGTGGTATGATGTGCCTTGCACAGCTTTTCTTTCCCTTCTGGGCCTGATGAATAGACAAAGTATGAATTGAAAGAAACAATAATTATAAAATCTTTTACTTTCCTATATAAATGTAATGATATTTAATATTTGATATTATGGAGGAAATTTTTTTTTAAATAACTGTGAAATGGAGGAATTAATATAATAATAATTTATACAATTTTAAGTTCAATCATTTCATTATGATGCAATTAAAAGTTTTGTTAATAAGGGGAGGGACTGCAATCAGGTTAGCAAAAAAGCAAATGAGTATGGTCAAACCTTAACATTTTATTCAGATAAACAAGATTTTTGCTCACATTAAACAACTCATTTAATGGGCTCCATTGTTTTGTTTACTAACGTAGTAAAATCTAATGTGTTGGTACTGTCAGTATCATACTGTGCACCAGTGGTATTGCAGATTGAATTTTATGAACTTCCTTTAAATTTCCTGGTATTCTCGCTCATTAAACTGTGGGCCTTGAGCAGTGGTCCCCAAACTGTTTTGTCTGGTAGACCACTTGCCATGTTTTTGGGTTTTAGGTAGACCCCCTGCTAACCTGATATTGATTTTTTGCACACACAAAAAAAAAAAATAGGTACCATCTGTGTATGTGGATTGTTCCATTCATGGAATGCCAAAATAGAAGCCATGACCTGCTTACATGAGATCCACTATCGTTGACCCCCATTTTCATTTCATGGACCCCCAATTTTTTTTCTTCGCTGACATGGACCCCTTGCAAATAGTCGTCGACCCCTGGGGGGTTGCTATAGACCACTTTGGGAATATCTGGCCTATGAGTATAAACACAACGCCACTTACACATGTCAGTTCCCCAATGTTGGTCCTGCATAGCTTACTGAATTAATTTATGACATACCACGTCCCCAATAGTTGAATTTAGTATATGTAACCATGGACTCACCAAACCAAGCCTCCCCTGAGAGAATGTAGACAAAGGTGTTCCATTCTGCTGGTACAGGTTGGTCTAGTACAGAGCCAGGCGACATTTTGAAATCCAGGTAATAGGTTGGTGTCCGGGTGTAAACTGGGGACTAAGATTTTTTAAAACAAAATTAGGCTCAGTTCCTCAGCTCAGAAATGTTATTATAGACGTGTGCCTGTAAATACCCGGGAAATATGTAATTCTGAACTCAGTAAAAGTTGTAGATCAATTTGTTAACAAATTACCTTAATTAAATAACTATACTAAAGAAAAAAAATGTTTTAAAATATTGAAGTAATTTATACAGGAAATACATACCTTGATCCCAAAGGCCTCGCCAGCGATTACTTTCACCTTAACTCCATTCTTCTCTCCCTTGGGGATGTCTTTGTCCACTAGTTCCTGATATGCTGGTGGAACCAATTTGTCAGAACGTTTCAAATTTACCCACAGCTGAAGGCCACGTGATGCTTCCTTCCCTCCGGGCATTTCACAGTGAACGATACCTCGGCCTGCCGTCATCCACTGTTAAAGAAAATATACAGATGTGCCTGGAAATTTTGTTTAATGGAACCGTCAACAGTAAATATGTCAAACTGATATTACTTTATTTTACCATGTCATGTTAAATGATTCTGCGCAAATAATGATTGTTGAGGATCATCAATAAATATTTTGCAAGAAAATAGTCAAAGATATTGTACTGCAGTTCAGAAATTTACCTGAAGGTCACCTGCTTCTATCTTTCCTTTGTGGCCAAGGAAATCTTCATGATTGGTTTCACCACTCAACATGTAAGTAACCTGTGGACAAGATTAAACTTTACACTCAACAATCACTGTCAAATTTACAAGCTTGCATAATTCCTAGCCCACATCAAATTGTTTATATTACTTTATTTTTAAGTATATACTTGTGAAATAGTTGACATTTAAGTTAATGAGAAATGAATAGCATCGACTAATATTTTTTCATTCCATTACTTGGTCAGATTATTAGAATTGATGCCTCACATAAGTGCTATCTAATTTTTCAGAATGTTAAATCTAATATTTTTTTAAACATTATTAATTTCCATGAATAATGTATTGCGACTAATTTACAAAAAAGGTTTACTCCTCATTTCCATTATAGTTGATTTATAGTTTGAATTTTTCTGCTAAAGTTTTAAAAAGATAATAATTTATTAAGGTAAATTTTAAATAATTTACTGCACTCATGTTGTGAGTTTTTGGTGTTTTTTTTAAAGAATCCTGAATTACATCACTCAATTTTCTGCACATGCAAAATAAAGCCAATTGCATGAACTTACTTTTATTAGCTTAACCACTTACTGTCTCAAACCCTCTATGTGGATGATCAGGAAATCCTGCTGGAGCTTTGACACAGAATTCATCAAGCATAAGGAATGGGTCAAAGTTGCGCAACTGCAAAAAATATTTGTAAAAAGACAAATTGTAAGCTTTGAAAAATCCAGAAGCATTATTAGCAGCACATATTCAATGAAATTCAACTAAGATCGTGTGATCAAGGATAACCCCAAAAATGTGAGATATTTCATAGTAATAATGGCTATGCTTTAATGATTATTCTTTTGCTTAATGATTCTCTTTTAAACTATAATCAAGCAAATAATCATCACAATGCATGCTATTAATTAAGTTTAGCTCTTTAAGACTACTAACCTCTGGGCGTCCAATACTTCGCCTCACTCTTGCACCCACTCCTTCACTCTGCTCTTTACTTTCAAATGAGAGGTTGACAGTTCGAGACATTGTCTGCTCTTTCTGTAAAACTGGTAGAAAAAAGTTCATAATTTTTAATATACTACTGCAATTACTGGAATACAATATTTCCACATTGAACTAACATTAATTCCACCCAACAAAAAAAAAATACAATGTACGTCTAGTCTACTTATTTATATTATATTGCACGATTAAATCTGGACCAAGACTAAACTAGAAATTGAATACTTACGAAGTGTTAAGTCCTGACAAGTTATGAACAGTGAAAGAAATACAACTGTGAAAAAGATCAATGTAGTACCTTCGAACAATCGAAATGGTTTGCCAACTTTAAATCCCGACGTTTGAGTTTGCCCAAAAATTGTAGGTGGTCTTAGAAGTAAAGCACAAATTCTAAGTGCTCTCATTCATAAACAGAGAGTATGTGCGGTATTTATACTTTGTAACAGAGTTAATGTTGTCCTGACCTTGTGATCGTTGTCTGACCAGTTATTGCCGAAACAAACCTGGGAACAAGAATTTTGCTGAGTAATTGTTTACAACAATTTAATGACATTGCGGGATTTTAAATAGTAGCAAGGGAAACTACTCTTAATTTTTAAATGAAGTAAATGCTTTGTCTGCCCTCCCTTCTTAAAGAGGGTGATGAAAAAAAACCATAAAATATTACCACGGTTAGCCAGACTGACTACCCAGCTCAAACTGTTTCTAAAATCCTTTCTACTAGCATCGCTATTGTTCGTGTGTTTCTTTCTGGCTGGCAGTATGGCAAAACTCTCGGACGGCTAATTGACCCACTTCCCGTCCGTCTATCGAGCTGAAACTTGACAAAACATTCTATCAAATTTTCAGTCAGAGTCGTCGTCCCGTTCCCCCCCTCCCCCCCCCCC